TAAAAATACCAGCCGAGTTTGTCTCATGGGAACCAAATTAATTATCTGCCGGTGACTTGTCCCACTTCTGTTGAAGTCTCCAGAGTTAACGACAATGTCACCACTAAAAGTGGGAACCTACTTCTCTGAATTTATGTAAAACAGGGCCATTCATCTGGGTCAGTCTTTGTTCTGCCTCTGAAGTCGAGCAGTGATGTGAAGGATGACGTCTGTTAAAACTGCTGTTCATAGGCTCAGGATAAAAATAAAAACTAGTTTATCCAACAGGGGCGGAAGCATATTTCACCCTAAAACACAAAGTTTGAAACGTTACTAATTTAGTCCCTTAAATCTTATTTTATAGAAGAACTGTAGCTGTCCATGATATATAATTATAATCTATGAATATGCATTAAAACAGTCCAAGTGTGTTCTGGGTCAATGACTTTATGAGGAAGAATGACTAAACTGTTAAGAAAACGTGTGTATGAATCAGTCAAATGTAAATAACTGATGTTTGTGATCAAATATAAATAAACAAAGGAGTTGTTATTATTGCACTCACCTGTGAGCCCAGGGAAATGTAATCTAGCTAAAAAAAACACAACCAAGCTACCACTTTGCTAGCTTGGTTGTTTTACAACTATTAATGAGTAATTTAATAAAAACAGAAAAATCTTCTTCAAAGGGATTTTTAGAAATGTTTTGGTGAAAGGGAGCCTTGTGACCTTTGACCTCACCTGGAAGATGGGCGCCTGGATGCCCTCTCCTATCTTGTTCCGGATGTAGATGTGTCGGGACATTTCGGCCAGGACATCGGTCCAGAGGGCTGGCTGCTCCGGTCCAGCCCAGCGCAGGGGTGGCGGGTTCCGGGCTGCGTGCTCCAGCTTCACACCACACCGGACATGAGCTTCCTCCCGGGCCGGGGCTCTCGCGCTCACACTGTCCGCTGCGCGACAGCTGCTCCGGTCGTTTCCCTGCCGCACGCGCGCCGGGAAGCTCCGTCTATGAACGGATGCGGCACGCGCCACTCAAAGCCAGATGCTGGACGAAACCATTCAAGAAACGGGGGGTGTTCTTCTTTTAACGATCTCCAGTTTACTAATTTTGCTCATTTTGACTAAAAACAAACATGAAAGAGAAAAAGGTCTGATTTATGTTAACCTTACAACTGTAATATACAAAGTTAAATATCTGGTTTAACATCACCAACAATGGACCAGTCTATCTGAGTGTATGAGTACATAAAGCAACCCAGTTATTTATAGTGTTTTATTTAAATCTATAAAATAAGAGAAATAGCACACGTGTTTGAATCTTTGTTGTCCATGCACACAAATAAACTAGTATTTGAACTTTAAATTCTAGCTAAAACTTGTATTTATAGTTCGTGAATGCATCTATTGAGAAAAAAAGATCTTGAACTTCTACAAAACAAGAACCCAATGCAGTGTTTTGATTTAGGATTCAGGAATTAAACGTTTTTTTACGTTGTCAACTTTATTTCAATAAGAACCTTTAATGTAGTTAATAATTTGCTCTAACTCTATTTGCATTTATTTTGCTACGAGTTGATTTTGGAAAATCAGCGGTTGTGTCGTGTTTTGTCCAGCAGAGGACACTGTTATCAAATAAAAGTAGCAGAAGCAATGGCGTTTATTATTCTTGTGATTTTTGCTCAGATTTTGTTGTGAAAATGCAAATTTTAAGTTTAGTAACTACCACATTTGTTATGCTGCATCACGAACTCCTCTTATTACTAATTTAACTATTTTTGTGTGTTTTAGACTTTTATTTGAAGCATCTTTTTAAAAATTCCATCTAGAGAAGTTAAAGAGCAAGCCACCCCCAAATAAACTTTTTTCTGATAAACTATGTAAATGCGTGTCTAATCATGCTGCAGACACGCGTAATCAATAGTTTTGCACTTTAGTGCATTTTACTTGAAATTTAATTTTCTACCCTAAAACTGTCAGTGTTGTGCCGTTGTCAGGTAAAAACTCTGCACTTCATTTGAATTTAAATCTGCCACCGCTATTGGCTAAGAGGTACCCTATGATGTTAGCTGGTACATTATGATGTCACAATGTCGTTGTGAGCCTGTGTGTGTATTTGTTACTGGCGCCGCCCTCTCGGTAGGCAACAGCATTTGTTACATTTTTCAAACATGAATGGAGTAAGATTGGTAGAGGATGACTTGCTCTTTAAGGCAGGGGTTTATTTATTTTCTGTCAAATAAGAATAATTTTTTTCTAAATGTAGTACTGAAATCAACGTCTTTCTGTACATGTTAATAAGACTTTTATCATTTTTTAAACCATTGTCGTTGTCTTAGTTCCTGAGCTGCATGCTTAGCGTTGGTTTGCCATTTTTGCACTCACCTGAAACAAAACCACAGTTAAATGGGAACATTTTAAAATAGTTTTCCCGCTGTGCTTTAAATAACCGTCCGAGAAACGACCACATGCAAACCACTTTGTTGCATGAATCCATTCAGCTGTGAGCACGCTGGTCCACTGGTGGAGTCAACAAAGCCAAGCAGGGACTTTTATTTTTGGCCAGTGTCGAGGAAGCATGATGCACGCCCTCTCAGAGGCAGTTTGTGTCTCATGGTGTTTCTGAGCATTTTGACTTCAGAAACAGGTGAAAACAGGAGCCAGACTCACTGATCAGACAGATCTACCCAGAGAGAGGGGGTGGTGGGTTATGTAGCTTTAAAGTGGAAGATGCAGTTATTCTTCTCTCACTGACTTAATTTATTCCCACTAATAGAGTCGAATGTGATTCATAAAACAGTTTTTCATTAAAGGACTGAATTAAAGCAGAGATTAAGCTTTGGATCAACACGTTCAAAGGTTGGTTTTCCAGTCACCAAAAGTGGGGTCAGAATCTTCTCACCTCTGGTGTTAGACTCACAACAACATCTGGATGGAGCCAGCTGTGAACATTCATGGCCTCAAGGCTCCAGAGGGAAGTCCACATGGACAGATAGATTACGAGGGTCGTGTGTTTTAGCTGCTGATTAGACCGCAGAGCAATGCTGGACTGAGAACCATAAACGCTGTAGAGTCGCCTGTGCAGAAGAGGTCAGGATTAAAGCATTTAGGGGGACGAGTCATCACTAAAACCGTAATCTTAGGTAAATAAACCACAAGCAGGTTGAAAAAGTTCTTTCATGTCACGCTGGAGACGTGTTTTGGGTGTGTTGTGAACTTCCTGGTACCTTAACCCCAGTTCAGCCAACCGGCCCAGACTCGGACGGAAGCACCAGCCGGATTAAAACCAGAATCTCTCTGAGCCTTCTGATCCCAAAGCAACTAGTAATCCCAGTAAGAGGGAATTGAAACTGATCAAGACTTTTACTCCGTCGTGATCTGCAGAAATCACCTGAACCACAGCGGCTGTGACGTCCACCTTCTATCTTTGGGAGCTCCTGATGCTTCTATTATTCATCAGCTCATCTGCTCTCACAAAAGATAAAAAATAAAAGCTTATTAAACACAACCTGCAGAAACGGTAGTGCTCCAGGTCTAACCGTGAGCCTCCTTCCTGTCATGAAATATAAATGATTAAATCTGGGGGAGGGGGGCTTAATGCTGGTTCGCCCTTCTGTTCCTTCATCAGCGACTGCTTCGCTGCTTTCTGAAACCTCTACATACTTTCCACGATTTATCATAATGAAGCTGGATTACAGGAAATCTGGTAAAATCCCCATGAAGACCCCATCAGGTACAGCCTCGGTGGCACCAACAATGGTTCCCCATCCCACCATTACACCAGGAAGCTTCCTTCAGACGGGGGGAGCATGGCCTTGTGTTCTTCAGGTTCTCAGTGTTCCATCACTGAAACCATCTCAACCTAGCCACAAGCGTTTTGTGGATGCTCAAACCCAAACTTTTCCCACCCTCCACCCAAAGTCGAGTCGTGGAGGTCAGAGGTCCAGTGGCGAAGCATCCGTTACCCAAGAAAGAGGAACGAACAAAGGCAGCGGAAGAATGCATTGCTGTTAGCCAATCAGAGGTGAGTTGTTTGCACATTGTGATGATTAAAGTAGTGAAAAACGTGTTTTATCGATGCATTTGCTGTGGTCTCCAGCAGGAAGGAATGCCTCGCAGGCCGTACTCAGGGTACAAAAAGCCCACAAGCCCTGGCTCAGCAGGGACAAGTCTGCAACATCACAGGAGCTTCAAACGGCTTACTTCCTGATATGGTAAATGGCCTGTACTTCTGAGGGTTCTATGACCCCCCAAGGCGCTTTGCAACACAATCAATCATCCACCCATTCACACACTGGTGAGGATGAGCTACCATGTAGTCACAGCTGCCCTGGGGCGCACTGACAGAGGCGAAGCTGCCGAGCAGAGGCACCACCGGTCACTCCGACTGCCACCAGCAGGCAAGGCGGGTTAAGTGTCTTGCACAAGGACACAAGAGCAGAATTTTCTGGTCGGAGCCGGGATCGAACCTGCAACCTTCCGATTACTGGACAACCCTCTCTACCTCCTGAGCTACTGCTGTGGACATCTCTCCTCTGATTGGCTAACAGCAACACGACTCGACCACTGACTCTGTTTGCTCGGCAACGTTGATGTTTTACCTCCACCAATAACACAAGCCTGGAAGAGTTCTGCTGTGTGGTGAGGTAGCTAATGCTAACAGTTAACTTCTACAAGCCGAGACGTTCCTTGCTGTTTCCTGGACGCTAAACCAACAACAGCCTTCCCTGTCATGAGCCAAGATGGGTGAGCCCAAGAGTGTTAGTGACAGTGTGACGTAGATCTGTCAGGCTTTAATCAGAACCTAATGCTAATGCTAGGTGTAGAAGACTAATTTCATGTTCAGCCTGCATGAGACACTCAGAGTGTTAGAATCAGAGATAATCATTAAAAATTGTTTTTTCAGGCAGCCACACCTTTAAGATTTATAATCCCGCCATTCTCCACAACTTTGACCAACATTTACTTTTTGAAACATGAACACCAGAGCTTTTTTTCACAGAAAATAACTCACAATGCCTTCCGTCATGTTGGAATCCACAGCAGGTTTATTAGAGGAAGAGGTGCATGACTCCTTTTAACTCAACTGGTGATTTTAGATATTAAAAGTTCATCAATCGTCGCAAATAGTCTTTTGACTTTATTTGTTTTTACAGTGTACATTATATAAAAATAAAGAGTTTACAGCATTTAAATGATTTTTAAGGTAAATTCGTCTCAGGCATGAGTTTATGTTTCAGGGGAAGCTAAATAAATTCCTTCAGTGTGGAGTTGAAATCTTTTCTTACAAACACAGACAAGCAGTTTACAAATCCGGAGCTGCAAAGTTAAATTGTTCTGTCAAACATGATTAAATCCTTTGCGTAATATTTACATTTTGGAAACATAAGAGTGTTCATTCTTAAAAGGTCATCACATTTTTCTGGAATGAAAAAATTGATCGTGTGGAAAACATAAAAAAATCCAAATCGTTTAAAGCTCAAATTTTAAGATCTAAGATCCCATATTAGACGCCATGTTTCCTTCTACGGGAGCCCAAGAGGACAAAATGCATTTACTGATTTGTAGCAAACAGTTACAAAACTTTCATCGTTCTGAAATGTTGTTTTACTGAAGTTTGCACTCCCCAGGGCTTTTTGACCCTAATGGGCATCCATTGGTAAGGTCTTACTCCAACACAAAAATACTGCTGGCTTGCAACAATTTAGGTATCTACTGCCCCCTATCACCAGGAAAAATACACACTGTCCCTTTAAGGATGCACATGTTTGCATGTAACAGACAGGTAAAGACTGTGTTTATATCATTTTACAGCTATCTTATGGCTTGAACGTCAAAGGTAAAACGTTTTCTGTAAAAGGAAACAAGAACGTGTGAAACACCACAATCGGTGACACAAAAGTGACCTGGAGACAGTACTTACAAACCAGTACCAGTCAAGTACAACATGGAGAATCTGGCTTGTGTTTGAATAGGTAAAAGCAAAATTGACTTTTCCAAGTTTAAAATGGGTTCCATACGTTGATGAGCCAAATCAAAAAAGGAACAACAGTTTGAATTTTTCACGTTGGAACAGAATATTTCCTGTAAAAATACAACAGTGTTAAAATCTACATGTAAATACCTGAAACCTGCAAAACCAAAGGAGCGTCGCATCACAATCACATTTAAAACGCGATTTTAAGACTCATAAATTCTTCATGTTCTCTTCAAATATACACTACAGATCTAGTTGGAGACCATTTTGTGTGTTAGTTTCCCAAATGTTGATATAGCTTAAACGTGTTAGATCAATCTTAATTGTGGCATCAGTGATGACTGCCAAAAATATTTATACAACCTACTGAGACATAAAAGTTATGAAAACTTCTTTAACAGTGTACAGTGCAGATTGAGATGTGTCAAAATCTGTTTATTCAGTGTTTGTTTCAATACGCTAAACACTAAAGCAGGCAAGTCATAAACCTACCAGAATCTTCTGTAGAGTTGCCAATTTGCAGAAATTTTAATAAGGTACAATGGCCCAGGGTGCAGAGTGTGGGGGGTGACTATGTCTTTATGTTTATTCAACCAAATCAACTTGCAGTTTATAACCAAACATGCGAGTTTTTGGTTTGTGGGAGGAAACTAGGGTACCCCAAGAAAACCCACACATACATGGGGAAAACATACTAGCTTCAGCAATGCATGAGGAGAACATGCTAACTCTACGCATGAATGTAGAGAACATGCTAATTCCACAAATGCATGGGGAAAGCATGCTGCCTTTATGCATACTTGGGGAGAACATGCTAACTCAACACATGCATGGGGAAAACATGCTAACTCATATATACAGAAAATGCTACTCCTAGTGTGTCTGTGTGCGTGCGTGCATGTGCGCACATGTGTGTATTTGTCATCTCAAGCATCGCCATGAGTTGCTATTTCTCTTTAAGCTGGGGTGAATCCAGTTGTTCTAGAAAGCAACATTTTCAGATAGAGCTAAAGGCGCGTCCAGTTTCCTTAAGCAGAGAGCAAGCAGCGCTAACACTAGCTTGTTAGCAAGCAGAATATCAGTTTGTGCTGTTTGTCTTTCCTTGTCTCCTGTTTTTGTCCTCTATAACAGCACTACAGCTAACAAGTATCTTGTTAGCATCTCCACTTATGCAAACAAGAGTTTTGTGTCACAGGCTAGGCCCTTAAGCTGTTGACTCCCACCTCCTGCATCAATGGCTTTGGGCTTTTCCACACAGGGCACACAAAGAAAATCAATGAAAGAGGAAAAATAGTCCTGTAGAAGTTTTTTTTTCATCAGAAAACAAACAAGAGACAGACTCACTGGAGAGTCAAGCTGCACTTTCATGTCTTTGCTCACGCACAGATGAATCAGACTGACCACATGCAGCTTCTTGTTGATGGTTGTTTTGTTGGTTCTGTTTGTTCACCAAAAAACTATTAAGAAGAAACAAAACTGCAAACTTTCACAGGCAGCTTTGCAAAAGTTGTCAAAATAGTCTCTGGAAGAAAATTCCAAAGGGTATGAAGAAAGAAAACTGTTGATTTAAGTCCACCTAATCTGCAGAATATTACATTCAATCTCTCCGAGACTCACTTTAAGGTTCACGATGAGGGCTGCATGGTGAAGCAGTGGGCAGCGCTGGTGTTTGGTAGTGTAAAGGTCACAGGCTTAAACCCTGTTCTGCATGGAGTTAGCACATCCACACTCTGGCTTCCGCCCACAGACCAAAAACATACATGTTAGGTTGATTGGAAAGTAGTCTAGGTGTGAGTGAGTGTGTGGCTAGCTTTGTGTGTCCCAGTGATAGCCTGTGGACATGTCCAGGGTGTCCCCCATCTCACAATGATCTCATCTGATGACTGCTGGAGATAAACACCAGCACCCAGGCATAGGGGGTTCATAAAATGAGCGAGGCACCATATTGTGTAAAACTTAAACTCTGTTAATGAAAACATGTGACCAAATGTAAAAGCTAGGGTTGTGTAAGAGGCATACAAATCTGACCCTGAACTGAAATGAGGCTTCTGGCATTTGAAAATAGCACCAAAATCCAGATTTCAGAAGTCCTGAGCAAAAGAAATAAACTATATTGTGAAAAAACGTGACTTGATCCTTAAAACAGGGAAGCAAGTTCACAGAAAAAATTTGGTGTTTAGTTCTGGACTTGTTGAAATCTTGTCTTGGGTTGAGCTGAAGAGGAAACGTGTCGTGGAGGTGGCGAGGAGAATGAAGAAGCCTCCTCTCAGCTGTGCATGTAGGACCTGCAGGGGGAGTCGGGGTTGAAGTCGTACTTGCTCACACAGGGAGGGTAATAGGTGGTGGTGAACATGTTGCTGGAGGCCAGCTGGGTGGAGAAGTGGTTGCACATCTCATCATTCACATGGAGGTTGTTCTTGTTGAGCATCTGCAGGAGAAAGGAAACATGGCTGACCGAAAAAGGAAGACAAACTTTAGAAATTCAACCAAAGGGTCGAAGCAGCTCACCTTAAACTCCATAGGGATGTACTTCTCGTTCTTTGCTGCGGCGTTGCCGTGCTTGTTGTAGGTGAGGTGGTTGGGCGTGCTGGGGTGGATGACGGCCGACTCGGCCGACGGGCGGTTCAGGTGGTGGCAGTACGAGAACACAAGTCCAGACAGCAGAGCTGCAGCGAAGAAGCTGGCCACACCCACAGCCACCAGCTGGAACAACGTAAAGGCTAGGAAAACAAAGGAGAGCAAGACTCAAGAATGAGGATACGATTTTGTTTAAAACACCCACCTGTGAGCAAAAGCTCCCTCAACAAGCCAAAAAACCTTCAAAGACTTTAGACTCTGATCATAATGTTTTTGCCTGTATCTGAGCAGGTTTGCTGAATTATTGTAGGAACCAGCAGGAGGATTTTAATGAAACTGGACCCACACCTACAACTGATGGACCAGCCTGATTCAAGATGGCCACTACAGCTGGACAGCATTTGCAAAAATGGCTTAAAGCTGCAATAGCCAACCATCCATCCACCCATCCGTCCGTCCGTCCATCCATCCATCCATCCATCCATCCATCTGTCCATCCGTCCATCCGTCCATCCATCCATTTTCAACCACTTATCCGGGGTCGGGTCACGGGGTCAACAGTCTAAGCCGAGAGGCCCAGACTTCCCTCTCCCATCCACTTGGGCCAGCTCCTCCGGGGGAATCCTAAGGCATTCCCTGGCCAGCTGAGAGACATAGGGTGTTTCTCAATGTCAAGACGCCTGGCCTTGCAAGGCGAAGTCTTAAATATGTAAGCGAGTTAGTACCTGCTAGCCACCGAAGCTGCAACTACTAAGCAGCTAACCCACCACAGCTAACTACTTCGGATATTAAAAAAAAAAACGTTTCAGAGATGGCAGCCTGATAGCTGCAATTAGTTGACCTACATTTTAACTTGAAATTTGCCCCCAAAGTAGCTGCCGGCTTCTGATCCTCGATCCTTTTGAAAATGCCGCGGTGCATTCTGGGAATTTTTATTTTTTTTTACCAAGGCTAGGCTACAAGACACCTCCCGTGTATCCTTGTTCAGCTAGCTAAACTGCTATCAAACGGAGAACACACGCCTTGGTAGAACATGAGCATTGAAACACGCCTCAGCGGTTCCTGATGATGTGTCTCCTAGGCAACCGGGGCAGGACCAAAACATCAAAGCAAAGTTACTTGGCAATGAGAAACATCCGTAGTCCCTCCAGCGTGTCCTGGGTCTTCCTTTATGTCTCCTCCCGATTGGACGTGCCCGGAAAACCTCACCAGGGAGGCACCCAGGAGGCATCCTAACCAGATGCCCGAGCCCCCTAAACTGGCTGCTCTTGATGTGAAAGAGCAGTGGGTCTACTCCGAGCCCCTCCCGGATGACCGAGCTTCTCACACTATCTCTAAGAGCCCAGCCACCCTGTGGAGAAAACTCATTTCAGCAGTTTGTGTGTGTGTGTGTGTGTGTGTGTGTGTGTGTGTTTGTGTGTGTGTGTGTGTGTGGGGGGGGGGGGGGGGGGGGGGGGGGGCACTCACTTTCACAGCTCCGGGTCTCTTCTTCAGGCAGAATCACTGAATTAAAAAAGGCAAATTACACAACATTTAAAAATCACTTTGTTGAAAACCTTAAAGCTTAATTCTTCTGTTCAGTTACATCTTTAACGTCATTTACCTGGAACCTCGTGAGCCTGACAGGGTCTGGACTGAGTGAGGTTACCCTGACAGAGGTTGACCTCTGACCCCTGGTCCTGCCCACAGTGACGATTGCGATGCTGCAGACCTTCCTCATCACAGTCTCCCCAGTCCGTCCATCCACTCCAACCTGCAACAGAGCAAAGAGGCAGCATAAAACCGGAGACTCGCCAAAAATCTACAGGGAATTTTGGGAAGAAAGGCTGAATAGCCGCACTACGGAAAAAAAAATCCTTGAAAAACAATGTGCTCAAGCTCCTGTTGGAGCAATAAATCAGTGTTTACTGTTTAAAAAACAAGTCTGCATTTGCATTAAAATATGAGTAAAAAAAATCATAACATGACATAAAATTCGGGTTGAGAAATTGAAAAATGATGTAATCCACAATAATATAACTTCTGCTACATGATTTTGCTTTTGGAGCATGCCCTAAACAAGGACGGCAAAAGGAAAGCAAAACACTGCGGCTGCACATGGACATCCGCTTCCTGTAGCAGCTTCCTGCTCAGGCTTCTGCCCCGCGACCCGACAGAGGATAAGCGGCTGAAAATGGATGGATGGGTCCATGTTTTCTCCATGTGAGTGACTGAGTAGAACATTTAATAAGCTGTAAATGTGTTTTAAATTAGCTAAATTTCACAAAAACATTTGGGGTCTTTCTGCAGCATGTGCACTGACCTTCACATGGGTGTGTGTTGCAGAGAGCCTCTTCAGTGTGTAGGCCGATGCAGATGTCTCCTCCGTTTGCAGGTGGCGGGCTGCTGCATGTGCGGGTTCGCTGATAGTGCCCACCTCCACAGCTAGATGTGCACTGGGACCAGGTGGACCAGCAGGACCAGGATCCACTCACTGTAACAAAATGGCCACTGTAGGACAACGCGTTGCTGCAGCTACGCTAGCAGCTAGAACCACACTGGTACCTGGGCATGGCTGAGTGTTGCAGTCCTGATACTCCACCGGTGATCCAGCACAGGCCGCCAGGTTGGTCCTGCCCTCCAGAGTGGAGCAGCTGCGTTTCCTGGTGCGGAAGCCTCTGGAACACTGCTGGGAACAGCTGGACCACGTCTCCCAGGATCCCCATCGGGCTTCTTGTGGCTGGGACAAAGTTCGTCCACTGGTCTTCACTAGATGTTCAACCAGAGCTGGAGAACCAAAGGAAGCACAAAACCCCAATAAAAGACACAGGACAGCATGAGCTCGCTGTCAGGCTCAGCAGGCAGCGTGCCATGAAGCATCAATTAATGAGGTGCATTGTGGGTCGTGTGGAACCCACAGACATATGCTTGTGAGCCAGAAGCTGCAAATGGGTTCAAGAGCTGTAAACCAAACCCGACTTTGAGAAGATGGAAAGCCACGACGTGTTTTTGAGATGGACAAAGCGAACATCTGCTTCCTTGTAACCGACAAACAGATGTGGATCCGTACTCACAGTCGGTTTGGCAAGCTCCAGAACCGTCGTTCGGACAGAAGCGGGTCCCCAGTTTCTTCTTCCCCAGCTGCAGCTGCTGGGGGTCGTTCAGCAGCGCCCGACAGGTGTACCTGAACCTCTGCTCCTGCCGGGACCCCTCTTGGCTCACGTTGACCGGCATCCAGGGCGTCCAGGGGGTGTTGCGGCGGACCTCGGGGCAACTCTCCAAGTTACAGACCTTAAACTCCTGGAAAACGGTGTTTTAGAAACCACAATACTGTCAGAATTATGATGCAGCGAACTTCTGCTGCCTGGAAACAAGAAAGTTAAAGTTTTTTGGGACATAAATTAAAACCAAATGATTTATTTTGTCTGTAAGAACCACTTAGGTAAGTCTGGAAGCCCATTCTTGCCGTTCAGATGTAAAAAGAATGATCACAGCTGTGTCATAATTACGACATAGTATCTCATATTAATTATAACACTATCTCATTACTATGAGATGCATGTTTTTTTTTTCAGAGTGGCAGGAATGGGCTTCCATACTTAAGCACTAAGAAGTAGCTACTTTGCAAAGAAAAGGTCAGGAATGTGTTTTCTGAACTGAAACTGCTGCAGTACCATCGCACATCCCGGACAGCTGTTCCCATTCTCACAGGTTCTGGTCCTGGACTGGACCCCTCCTCCACATTCAGCGCTGCAGTGGGCCCAGGGGCTCCACGCCGTCCACGACACCAGCAGGGGACACGGTTTTTTCTCGTTGCACAGCCTGCAAAGCAGAGCAACGCCGCCGTTGACACTAGTCTGACACCACCGAACCCTCCCTGTGCGAGGAGGAACGGGTTTACTCCCTCACCTCTCCTCCCGACCCTGGCCAACGCAGATCCGACCTCCGTGGCGAGGCGAGGGGTTGTTGCAGGACCGCTGCCTCACCTCAAATCCGATTCCGCAGCTGCTGCTGCACTGACCCCAGGAGGACCAGGGAGTCCAGCCTCCATTTCTGAGGAGCGTGATTTATTAGATTTAATCGTGACGCGTCCCACCCATCGGTCTGGTGAATTCGAAGATCAGCGTTGAATTCCTGTGAATAAAAACGATGATGGACGCACCTGGAACAGTTTGCCACTTGGATGGTCGGGCCTTTGCAGCCTGCTCCCCCACATCGGGGCATCGGCCCGTCGCAAAAACGAGACCGACACATGCAGCTGCTAAAGAAGCCGTCTCCATCGTCGTGGTTACAGCGTTTCCATGACGCCCATGGACCAAAACCTCCATCCTGGGTCAGGTTCCTCACCTCCACGGAGCAAAAATGACTTAATAACTCATCTTTATGCCTGCAGACGTATTTAAGTTGATCTTACTGGACACTCTGTGATGTTCTGGGTCCACTGGTTCATGCTGGAGCTTCCTTCGAAGGTGGTGCAGCGCTTCTGCTTGTGATCCCAGCCACAGTAAGGATCCCGGGCCTCCAGACAGTCCCTAGTTTCCAAGAGAAGATAGCAGCTTGTCATGTGAACCTGACGTTTGGTAATCGGGAATTCCACAGGAGCTCCTACCGTTGTGCTGGATAGTTGGAGCAGCGTTCCAACGGGATCTTCACCAGCCGGTCACCCAGCCCCACAAACAGCGACCGGTCCTTGTGAAGGATCTGCAGACTCTTTATGGCTCCCCTCTGGCCCTCAGGGAGGATCCGGAGCTCCTCCAGGTAGCAGCCATGAAGGCTCTCGTTGGTGGTGGCGAGAGCCTTCAGGATTGTGCCGTATTCTGATTGGGCGAGAATAAACTCACTTATAAGGATCTGTAAGCTCATTTTAACTCTGGAGACTGTCACTTCCTGCTCACCGGTGCCTAGGTACATGACGTGGTAGAGAGCGTGTTGTCCCTGGACGATGTCCACCACCAGCCTGGAGAAGCGGAGGCTGTCCTGAGTGAGCAGGGGGTTGATGCTGATTGGCTGGATGACATCGCTCATGAGGAAGAGCCGCTGTGCGTCCTGAAGGCTGCGTTCAGTCAGGTTCTCCCCTGGGCCGTCCTCCTCCAGCGTGCCACACTGAAGAACAGATGAGTGAGGTGTTAGCGGCAGATCCTTCATCAGGAAGCTTCTTCCGCCGTTCAGCAGAAGGTGGTAAAGCTGTGGTATTCAGAGAAGAAAACACTCCACCTGGATCTACCTGAAAGTTGGGAATAGGGTTTGGGGTGGAGAGCCAGGAGGTGCGGGGGTTCTCCTGGTAGCGGAAGGGTCCGTTGAAGGCCAAGGTGATGGAGCTCAGGTTGAAGGCACAAACAGCAGATGCTGATAAACTGTTCCTGGAGGAGGGAGGAGGGTTAGTCTGTGTGAGGTCTACCTGGGTTAAACCAAACGTGGAGAAGGGTTCTCGCGGGGTTAGGGGTGTAGAGACTCCTCACACATTAGTGGTGAAGATGCCGTAGATGAGTTCCTGCTCCGGCAGGTAGAAGGTGCTCTGCAGCTCGTTGTAGTAGAAGGGGATCTCCCCCGAGCGCGAGCAGTTGAGGCGGGCCTTCATGAAGGTGGTCCAGGTGTCCTCCAGGAGGAAACGTCCTCCCATGTCGTTCTTACAGACCCGCGCCACTCGAGAGAACACCATCTTCCCGCAGTCATTTTCCACGGCGGTTTCTCTCAGGAAGAAGTAGACGAAGCGGCCAATCTCGTACACGGACACAAAATGAGGCTCTGGTGGGGAAGAGAGGCAGATAACGAAGATCAGAGACGTGAAAAGTTATGACGCTGGAGAAAAACACAAATCCGTGCGGAGATTTGTCAACCATTGAGCCATTTGGAGTTGTACTGAGCCGATCGTAGAGGCGGCATGTTCCCCAGGCTCCTGTAGATGACCGGGTCACGTCCGGAGAAATCGATCACCGTGGCAGCGTACAACTCGCCCTTCTGCGTCACCGTGGCTGTGGAGTTGTGGCGCGGGTCGTAAGGACACCGAGCAACACCGTTTACGGTGTCCAACACCTGGCTGGGGTCAGACACCTGAAAGCAGGGTTGAAAATCAGGAGTCTGCTTTCATGAAAACCAAAATCCAGGACTGATGTACCGACCTGCCTGGTTATGCAGATGGGCGCAAAAGCGTTGGTCCCACAAGTGAAGAGCGTCTGACCACTGATCAACAAAACGCGTATGTAGTTCTGACATTCATCCTGCAGGAAAACATCACTTATGTCACAAAAATGTGGATTAATGCATCATTTCTCATCCAAGTATGGTGAAAAGGATGCTCGTGACACCTCAGATTTGCCTTTGCTCTGACAGGAACGCCTCGTGTTGTCATCGGGTGCCCATTCCGTTGCCTGAGAGGGGAAGAGAAGATATTCTGGTGATTGTTTCTGAAAGATTATCAGCATCTTTGAAAGAAAGAGAGTATTTATTGCAGAAATCACACTTAAAGTAGATTTCCAGAGTTTTCTTCTTTCAGAAAAGATGTGAGATCTTTCAGAAATCCGTAAAAGTGATTATCTCATCATGTACTGTGATGTAATGTAACCACGCCCCCTGCCCCGCAGAGCTCCATGCAATAGGAAACTGAGCGCCGACCAGAACTAACCAATAGCGTTAGACTGCCGCTTACGTGCTTCACATTTAAGGAATACCTTAAATACTGATGCAGAGTTGATGAACTTTTCACGGACAAGAAAGTCTTTAAAATTTAAATATATGAGAACACAACATGACATGAGAATAATACTCATAAAACAACATGTTTTAGCTGTTTGTCGGCTAAAGAAGGACATAAATAAACTATAAACAGGAAGTTGCCATCTTGAAAAACGGAAGGAGAAATTATTTGTGTGATATGCTTATCAGCCACTAGATGGTACCATTGCATAAGGTAAATACTCCGGAAAGAGACTTTAAAGACCAACTTGGTGTTTTCAAAGCTTCTGCAGGGGTCTCTAGTTTAATGAATGCCTCGGGTTAAAGCTCTGGCACTCCTGTTTCAGGAACAGGAAGTGAGCCAGAAGAGTGGAGAGCAGAAAACAACGGATTTGGAGTTTTATTCATTACTATTTCAAAATATGTGGACATCTCTCCTCTGATTGGCTAACAGCAACACAACTCCACCACTGACTCTGTTTGCTCTGCATTGCTGATGTCTTATATCCACCAACAACACAAGCCTGGAGGAGTTCTGTTGTGTGGTGAGGCTGCTAATACTAGCAGTTAGCTTCTGCTAGCCGAGACGTGCTCTTCTCCCCCGAACGCTAAACCAACAACAGCCTTCCTCTTCATGAACCAAGATGGGTGAGTCTGTGAATGCTAATTTTATGAGTGACATGGATCTGTCGTTTCACCGTCTATTTTCCCAGCGGCTAATGCAGGAGATAGGTGTAGGAGACTATTTTGATGTTTAGCCTGCGTGTGAAACTCAGACTGAGCGATCCTCTTTGAGTTTGGTCTTTATTATAGTGAACAAAATTTGTGTTGTAGCCGAGATCAAAGTTAGCTAACAGGCTGCGATCCAAGGTGCGTGGCGTTAGCTGTGCTTGCATCAGGCATCTATCTGATGGTGTTTCTGCGTCTTTACCTGAATGAGGGAAGTGTTGCTCAAACTCAGT